TTTATTATCTTTTAAACCTTGGACAAGGGACATTAAGTAAAATGCACGATTTTATCTAGACCTTGAACAAAGATTGCTGAAATGGTAGCCATGGTGTTATTTTAAAGTATTGAAGTTGATGTAAAACATAGCTAAATTAATCAAGAATTAAACCGATGTTACAAACGTTTCTTTTCTTTGGTGGTGAAAAATGATGCGAAAAACTCTGTTAACTATATCATCCTCAGGAGATTTCTCAGTAACCATTAAAAACATTTCAAAAGACAAGTATCATGCCACACCTGTGCATCGGTCAGTCAAAAGTGTCCAAGAAGCCCTGATACAGGGTCTAAACAAAGATTTAACCGTATTGACAAGTACCTTTGAATGGAGTGTGGTTAGCGAAATGGAGCTAGCTTCCTCAGAGTCAGCATCAGGAACTAAAGTTAGTCAAGGAACGACGGAGTGGACGATAAACAAACGATCCATACCTGCTGGTATCTATCAAGTCAAATTCAATGCTACGCTTGCAGTCGGAGATCCAGCATCCCCCAAAATTGTCAACGCCTTTGATTATGGCTTTATTGAGGTTATTCCAGCCCCCGTGCGAGCCATTCTTGATGGGGGAAGCAGTGTGCGGTGGGGGTCCAAGCAAAACGTCACCGTGAATGGCTCTTTAAGTTACGACGCAGATATTGGCCCTGGAATAGATACCGGGCTCAATTTCAGTTGGTCCTGTCGGAGTGACACTTCTGTAAGCAACACTTGTTTCGGTTCTTTTCAAAACAAAGGAGACTTAAACTATAGAAGCATTTCTATTGATACAAGTAACCTTGTGATCAATAGGATCTTCTTCCTGCGGCTGACAGTGTCCAAGGATGTGAGAAGTTCCTATGCCGAAATGTCCTTTGAGATAGCTGAAGGAGAGGTACCACAGGTGACCCTCAGGTGATTGCTATGTACCGTTGACTGGTAATTAGAGAAAATGTAATACTCAAGGAATCGGGAAAGGAAAGCTCTCAGAAATATGTATATTTAAAAAAAAGTTTGCTTTTACTTATCGAAACAAAACCTCCCAAAAGTAAACGTTCTTTTAACTGGAAAGGGAGACCCTAAGAAAGTTATGCAGCGTTTCTATGAAAGAGTAAAGATTACAATCCTGCTAAAAAGTAGAGAAGTAAAAGTAAAGTCCTTTTAACGTTTAAATGATTATTTCACTCTGTAGTCTCGCCTAACCTATATCTAGCTGTACGTAGAACTCAAAAAGGCTAATCGTGCTTTGATAAAACTATTACTGACTTGCTCTATTAAAGACGAGCGGGTGGTGGTTTGAAAGGATAATTCGCCAATTTACAAAAGCTGTGTTTTCACTTT